GGATGAGCTTTCGAGGTCTGTTCCAGCTCCTCATATTCTGTGATCCTGTGACCCTCTATTTCTCATGGTAAATTAAAGTACAGAAAAAAAATCAAGTGTGCAAAGACTTGGCAAGATCATCCAAATATTCTAAAATGAGATAAAAGAAAAAGCAAAACCAAAGTGAAATAAGAAAGCTTCTATCTTGCTCTGAAGTCCCATAAACCCTTCATGAGCTTTAGTTGCTGTGGTTTTTGGTGGGAATGCCACTATGTGGAGCCAGCACAGGGCTCGACTGGGCCTCCTTGCCCATCCCATGTTAGAACACTGTATTTGGTATTTTTGCTGACACACATAGAATTTTCATCCATAATTCTACACTAAGAGGAGAGATTGCAGAAGTTGCACAAATAAAGTTCTTAAAAGAGAATTTGAAACTCAAAAAGTACAGGAACGAGGGCGTATTTCATTTAAATAGAAAGGAAATTTGTAGTCAAAGTGGTTATAAAGAATATTTGCAAATATGACCTAAAAGCTTGGGAACTAAGAAGCAAATGAAAAAAAAAAAAACCAAAACAAAACAGGCTAAATATATTTTCTGGTAACAGATCTTGTGATCTGTATTACTCGCCAGATTCCTGAGTGGGTGACTCACTATTTTTGAATACTCAGGAGAAGCTGCGTTGCATGGGACGTGTTCCTCTTTTAATAAAGAAGAGAAGTCCGGGATGCAGGCTCCAGTGTTGGGCTGAGAGTTCGTAATCTCTGGAGGGCTGGTCCTCATTTTTTGGTGTTTTTTTTTTTTTTCTCTGAAGCTTGGGCTTGCATCATGCTTTGTGGCTGTAGGTTTCTGCTGAGCATGTTTTTAAGTATTTGGGATAATATCTACAGTAACTTTTGGCTTTTGCTGCCTCTGCTTTCGACATATTACTCCGCACAGGGGTAACAGGTAGTGAGCTTGGAGGATGGACAGATCCATTTCTTGTAGGTAATATGTGTAAAGCTCTTAAAATGCAGAAAGCACTGTGTAAGCACCAGATGCTACTGTTACAATATTAAATATCCAAGGTGGATGTACTTTGCTCGAAGTTGCCTGATGAGAAGTCTCACATTTTTCATAAAGTGGCGTTGCAAACTGGGGCAGGCTGATGCCCCTTTGGAGCTGTCGGCTCGGGGCGTTTGCAAGCCGTGGATCTACTCCTCACAGGGATACTTCAGTTCCCAGCAAGAAAGGTCTCAGATTTCAAGTCTTCCCCTGCCATTTCCTGAACCTCAGGCAGGAGGAAGCTGATGGGAGGAGGAAGAGCTCTCCCATTCTCTCTCTGTCTTACTCTGGCAACCCAGGGAAGAAGGCTGGACATTGCAGTCAGCAAATATTGCTGGAGTTCAAACGCTTTGGTGGTGCAGATTTTCTTGCAAATCACAAATTCTTCGCTGAAGTAAATCAGTAATTGTGGATTATGATTTTAAATCAGATTTAAGTGGCAGGTTTGCCTTACTAGGTCTTGGTCGCACTGTAAACCTGAAAATACAGTGATATTTCCTATGCTTGTGCACATAAAATGTATTTATTTCACAAGTTTATGAAATGTTTACGATGATCAGAGAAATTCGGTTTAGAAGTTGATGACCCCAAATGTTAGAGCTGTACAAAACCGCCATGGTTTTGCAGACACATGGGCTCACTTGGTCACAAATTGCAGCGTCTGGTGACAGAAATCCTTCACACACAGGTAACTCCTTACAGCAAGGAGGTGCTGCACACCAGCTCACATCTGCCAATTGAGTGGTGTAAATCAGTAAGACCCCTGTGCTAGATGGTAGATTTATTTGAAGATTGAACATTCGGAGTTCTTATTATTGTACCTGCCTTTTTTTCAATGGTAAAACAAATAGAATGCTGATGACTTGTTTCTGTCCAGTGAAATGGGGCTGCTTCTGATAGTCTGGTTTGTGTCTGTTTGCAGTTCCTACTTCTCCTCCCAAAGACGTGACTGTGGTGAGCAAAGAGGGCAAACCTCGGACAATCATCGTTAACTGGCAGCCTCCGTCGGAAGCCAACGGCAAAATTACAGGTGCAGTTTCCGTGAGCAATAAAGGCAGATATAAGGTGCCTGGGTAACAGCAGAATATAATCTGCATAACTGTGTGAATATGTTCCACGCTTCACTTAGCCTCGAGCTAGCCAAGAGGTCTATATCTGCTTTGTCAATCCTTTTAGTAGCTCAGATTAATTATTTACTTTTGTACCTGGTAAAAATATATTAAGATACAAACTAACTGCAGTGTGAAGTTGGAGCCTAACCAGAATTATAATTGAAAGTTTAAATATCTCAGTAACCTTTGCCTTCATCAGCTTGTGCTATTCTTATAGCATGCCTCCAGAAATTCGTCTATACTGCCTCTGGCCCGTCAGTTTTTTATTTAGAAGAATCCATCCCAGTGCTCTGTGTCATCTTTGTGTCCTTGTTGTGGCACAGAACAGACTTAAAGTCAGTTTATTAGTCCCCTGACATAGCCAATAGGAGTAAACTGTTACTTGTCCTTGTAACTGCATCACTTTCATGTAGGAGAAATAATTTTAAAGAAAATAATAATTAGTCTTTTCTGCAATTTCTGTTTGGATTCCCATGTCTAAAGGCTTTCTGAAATAATTCACTTTTTCCGTTTGTTTTACCCCAGGCTTTAAGCTTAAAGCACATTTTATTGGCATATAGTTTGTGGTGTATGGTTTTGCTTTTGTTCTAAGAATTAACTACAGAGCACAATCAAAACCTTTGAAACCTGGCACCAGCTGGCATCTTTAACTGCAGGTTAAAGGACTTGGTTGCTAGCGGTCAGACAGGTGAAATGTCAGGCACCAATACCCCCGGGTTATATATGCTCTTCAAAAGATAAGCCAGTCCTCTTACATCAAGTGCATGCGTGAGGAAGGGAATGCAGTGTAAAAAGAGATCATGTAAATACATGCACAGTGTGATAAGCAAAATTATCACAGGCGTTCAATTTTCCAGTTAAAAAATCTTGCGATGTCTGTACTGCGAAGGAGAACCTTACATTTATTCATATGTGTTGGATGAAAATATATAGGGTTTATTAGGTTTTGAGTAAGCAGCAATTAACAGCTAAAAGATAAAATAAAATAAATCCTTCTGTGGCAAGTCTGTGTCCACCCAACATGAGATTCCTTTCCATTTGCCCGGGGAGCCAGGCAGGAGGTTCTGGGATGCAGGGGCTGAGTGCCCTCTGGTGGGAAGCACCACTGCCAGCAGGAGCAGCAGCTTATTGCTGCTGTAATTACTCATTAACTCAGCTCAGTTGATTCGGTGCATTAATTAATGCTGTAAAAATCAAGTGATGATGTAATTCCATGCGCTGGGTAGCACGGCATGGAGCAGCTTTCTTTGCAGCACTAACGGCCTTTGGATGTGGATAGGGTGGAGGTGAAATACTGCATCCCAAATGCTTGTGCATCGTTATAGACACTAATTAGTGCAGTCATAAGTTAATTCAGCAGTCTTGTGCCACTATACTACATAGAGTGCTTTTAACTGTCACTATATATATATTGCTCTTAACTCTGTGTGTGTGTGTGTATGTTCTTAGACAAGTAGCAGACACGTTGCTTTGTGGCCTGTACCAGTAGCAAATTAAATATTAACTCTACACCCAGTAGCTGACTGTGCCACCAGGGGAAGAAATTAAGCGTGCCAGACCTGAAAGGTGTTTCAGGTGTCACCATCCATGCTGTACTGGTTACTGTGAATTATGTGAATTTAGAGGCTCAGCAGTGGTTTCAGTTGCTTTAAAGAAGTGGGAGTTGCTCTGGAGAACGTCTCCCTTCCTTACTGGTGGCCTGTGGGACAGAGGAAGCAGCAATGTGTGTGTGAAAAGGCTGATGACCTGGCCCTATCAGTGCAAGCATTTGTTTTATGGCAGGGCTCTGTGTTTCTTAAACAAATGTTATAAACCTTTTATTTCGTGTAGGTTTGTATGGGCAGTATATTTAATAACAGGTCATAAACTCTTCCCCTTACTTTTATTCTGTGCCATGCAAGATAACTTCAGTTCTCTTCAGATTATTGTTGTCTTTGTTAATAAAATGAAAAATAATAAAATAATTATAAGCTATTAAACACGTTCTTCAGCTGTGCATGAGAATGCTTTGTTGGTTTAAGGTTACCTGTTTTCTCTAAATATTAGTGCTTTCAGATTGTTTTTAAAATAACATGTTTATGTTATCTTACATTATTTGGCCTATGAACAGGTAAAGAGATGGAGATGAGGAATTTCTCCTTATTCAATTAACAGTGATGAAAAATAATTTTGATATATTAAATGGATTTTTTTTCTCTCAATGTACACTTTTGAACAGCCTTAACATTTGAGATGGGAAGGCTGTCTGATATTTGAACGCATTCTTAGTCTTTGTAAAAGCAAGAATACGCTTTCAGAAAACCCACAGTCATTGAGCTGTGCAGATACCGTTAAAAGCCAATAGCATATTTTCTGTGACGTCTTAGGACTATCCTGTTCTTTTCCGTAGAAAGTTATTTTGTTTTTCCGTTGACTAGGGTACATCATTTACTACAGTACGGATGTGAACGCTGAAATCCATGACTGGGTTATTGAGCCTGTCGTGGGAAACAGACTGACCCATCAGATACAAGAGCTGACCCTCGATACGCCGTATTACTTCAAAATTCAGGCCCGCAACTCGAAGGGCATGGGGCCCATGTCTGAGGCGGTTCAGTTCAGAACCCCAAAAGGTAAAGTGCCACCTCAGTACCTTCCTCTTCACTTTTTTAATGCCCCTCCATAGGGATGAGACACCAGTATGGTTTTTATATTTAGACTGGAAAAGACAGGAAGATGATGAGTTAGACTAGCGTGACATTTTCTGTTGGATTGCTCTTGCACATAGTTGATACACATACAAATCTTCCTTAGCTCTTTGATTAATTGTGTTGTTTCAAAATTACCGGTGGGCACTTAGGTCATGTAGTTATTAATGTAAAAGTCCACGTCCTGAATGTGCTTTTTAGAAAACCAATTTTTGATTGCTTCGAGAGTCCAGGTCTTGAGTGTCACGTCTGCTCATGCTGAAATAGCTGAGAGCTGCAGGCCCTGGGGTCGACAGCCAGCGGCACCGCGGCTCGCTAGGACTTGGATGATGGAAAGGGAACTGGTGTGATGCCATAGGCTTTTGAGTCAGGGACTGCTTGGGGATGGGTAACTAGGGAGAGAGTACGGATGCATGGGACCTTGAATGAAATGAACTCTAAGGAGAGGTGAAAAACGAGAAGTTGTAAGATTTTTCTAATGGTGCTTTTTCCATGTATCGCTGGTTAGAAATGAGAGCTTGAGTGCATTTGCTTATGCTATGTGAAACTTGAAATTCTGTCTGTCACTCCTTCAAGCCGTGTGATCTTTCTCTTGTTTTTTTTCCTTCCCTGTGCTTGTCCCACTAGCCGAATCCTCAGATAAAATGCCTAATGATCAAGGTAAATGAATAGCCGCGCTTTCTCTTTTATTCCATCCTTCACACAGTTTGTTTTTTCTGTCCGTGTGCCGTTGCATTTCCTAAATGAAACAGATATCTGCTGCTCTAACTGTAAATGAGCAAGTTCCTGTTATGCCTTTAGTAGTGGAAGAACTGGAAGTCCTATCTGTGGTTTGGACGTGAGGAATATAAAGCGATCTCTGTAGTCAGGTGTCACATGAAGGGATGAGCGGGTCGTGCCAGAGTTGAATCATTCTATCAAAAGGAATTTGGCTTAACTCAGTCCCTGACCAGCGAAGCAAGATCTCGGTACACAGAGGTGGGAGATCAAACCATTATCTAATTAGCACAAGTGCTGTTTTGTGAGGTCTACATCTATAATTATTTCCATAATGAAGGAAAGTACGTCTGCTCTAGAAAGCTGTTTTGCAAGAGAGATTCTGCCTGTCGGCTCATTTAGACTCCAGACTCTCCTGAAGAGCCCAGCATTAGCTGCTAAAAGCCTTAGGGTTTTAAAATGCTAGCTTGAAAAATGGGAGCTTTGAGTTTCCTACATTGAATTTTAAGGTGAATGTCCCATGGCTATTTTTGCTTTCTTCCAAATAACCTACAAGCCCTATAGAAAGGGGAAGAGTTAGTCTACAGGGATGAGTTTGAAAGGACGTTGGCAGGCAGCTTAGACATACAATTAAATAGATCCTAAAGAGGTTGAGAATGAGCTGTTGAGTTTTTTTTTAACTTGCTTTTCAGCTTGTTATTGAGAAGTAATTTATTAAATACGCTTTTGCCTTCTGTGTCCCAAATAATGATGATGCTGGAGAGTTACGGAGTGAATTCCTATCCACACCTGTGCATCAGAGCTGCTGAGTGAGACCTGGGCTTGTCTGGGGGAAGCAGGTGCTCACTGCATCATCATTGGTGCTCAACTGCAGAGATCTAGGGGAGGATTAAAAGGTTTTATTTAGAAGTTGGCGTTTGCTCTTCTGCCCTATTCTGACCTCATTTCAGCTGATAACTACATCTTCTCATCCATCATTATCATCCTAAAGTAACATATTCCTCTGGTAACAGTTTAATTAGTATGTATAAAATTATAGACTATCATCATAAATAATAATATAATCATAAAAGCCCAGAGAATTTTGTTTCAGAATTCCTCCAAGAACAGCTGGAGATGAGAAATTATGGCAGTAGGTTACAAGTAGAAAAGGAGAAGGTGAGCTGAAGAGCAGAAAAGCCAGCTCGCTAAACTGCCGAATGGTCTCCTTTTGGAAATGGTAGACAAGTTATTCGAGACTGGAAGGAACAAAACTGTAGTGGGATTGACTCTCCAGCCTTAGTGATTCTGTCTTTTTTTTCTCTCTCTCTCTTTCTCTCTCTATTTTTTAATATTTTTGTCCTGTATTGAGCACGCCGTATTGTTCTGCTACACACTTTCATAGCACAGAACTTGTATTAGAAGTTAGCGGCTGTTGCTGGCAGGCTGCAAGGAGTTGAACTGGCCCAGTACAAAAGCAAAGGTTAAGGTGTCTAAGCCTAGTAAAACTATCCTAAAATAACAAAAAGTAAAAAGATTTTGTCTGGCTGCAGATACCAAATGAATAATGTGGAGACTGACAAGCTAAAACACTCCAATAATTTCAATTAAATGTTATCTTAAAGTGTTCCTTAATGTAGGGGAAAATGGAAAACCTCAACAGCAAACTTTGTAAGATCCTGGAAAAAAGGCTGCTGTGACTTAGTTAGGTTCCTAAACTTAATTGTATTTTGTATTTCATCGGACTCTGTTTCTTGCTGTTACCTTTGCGTGCTCGGAAGCGTGCAGACACTGACACCACGCAGCCAGCACCGGCACCCTGAGCTCTGTGCACATCCTGCAGGTAGCAATCCCCAGGGATGTCTGCGTCCCTTGGGAATGGGACTGCCTGCCAGAATCCTGCTCGCTCCGTATTGCTGCCTGCCAGCGTGTTTATCATCTACATATGGTTGATACACGTTGTCACATACACACACATACATGAGGGGTATATAAAATCTGCAGCTGGCTGTATGAGCACGTACAGGTTGTTCCAGGGAGTGCAGACCCCTTGATGAACTGCACCAACACCTGTCCCATATGATCCCTGTGTGTCTTGCAGGTGACTTAGCCTATTGGATTATGTACTCCATTATTTTATGTCATCTGTGAAGTTCAGTAGCAATTCTTTCACTTTTCTTTCACAGTGTTATTAAGGATATTGAATTACACCTGGCCAAGCACAGGTCTTTGCAGGACTCATTAGAAATATCCCCTGTGAATAATGATTCTGCAATTACAATTCTTGTTCTTATCAGTTAATTAGTTGTTAATCTTGTTAATATGTGCCACATTGCTTTTTTTATTACGCTGTTTTTAACAAAGTGTTGTACGCTACTCAGTAAAATGTTTTGTGGAAGCCTAAATATAGTGTGTCTGCATAGTTACTGTTACCAACCTGATTTATAGTCTGACATTTAATTCATTTGAAAACACCTGTTTTCCATAGAGCAGGAAGACGGGTGTAAAGTATGCCACCATCTCCTGTCTCACCTTTGCCATGATCTTGCCTGTGTTACAGCTCCAGCCGCTGCGCTAAAAATGCATAGGGTGTCTATCTGGCCTTTAAAAGTATTGCCAGTTATTTTTATTCCCTGTTTAATATTCTGTTAAATTATTTCATTGCTGCTGCAAAATTATTGGTCTGGTACTTCAAAAAGAGAGCGCGTTTTCACAGAACGTGGTGTCATCTCCAGACTGGCAGGTGCAATATCTTTTTCATTACAGATTTGTCCTGCGGTACGTATTTTCTGTCATTTTAGACTACATCTGACTCTCACTGCACACGTGTAACGTTCCGCTGTATCATCCTCTGCAGGGTCTAATCAGTATTCTAGCTGGTTCCTTTTCTGGTTTTACCAAGTGTCTTTATTTCTCAGTGACTGATTTAGAGGCTTTGACTTTAGGTTCCCAATTTCCATTTGCTACAGACCCTTCCACACTTACTACTTCTTGATTAGAGTGGATTTTTAACTGAGAAAAACCCTTTTTATGATAGTGCAACTGTTGTGTTTATGGATTTCTGGGTTGGTTCTTCTGTGGTTTTGGCTTTTTGTACAGAACAGTGTAAAAATGTGCACAGTATTATGAATTCCCAGAACAGGAGGGATGTTGTGCTTTGCATCTTGCTGTATGGTTCCCCTATTAGAGTAGTTTTATTGTTCACGGTAATTTTGCATTTGTGCATTTTAATGAAAGCACAGAATTGAAAGAGCCAGGGGTTTGCACATCTTTATCTGCACGAAGCATTCTGCTATTCTGGAGAGGGCTTAACATCAGAGGTGAACTTGTGACTTCACGCGTCTCGCTGCAGCAGCGAGGAATCTAAATTAGACCTGAATTATGCAAGAAGAAGTACTTTAGGGTAAAATGAAGACGGTTTTCAGTTGGTGGCTCTTGCATTTAGCACCTAGGAGTCCACTAGCAGGAGCAAAAGTTCAGGAGGGGCTGTGTAAGTTGCCTCAGTTTATGATGACTGAGGTACAGCTATGTTAACTTCCATTGCCAGCCTATAAACATAAAGCTTTGAAATGAATTAATTTGTTTCCCTAGGATTCTCCAACAAAAATATTTTTGTGGTACTTTGCTGTCATTTGTGGCGAAGGTAAAACACACTGAAAAGAACGAGGAGAAGCTGAAAGCGAGTTTTTATGGCTAGGCAGGGACATAATACCACATTTACTGTGCTTTTGGTCCTCTGCTCATTTCCACACTTACTGTAATGAGGTGTTAAGAAACCTGTATAATTACTGTTTCAAGATGATTAACTGTACAAGTGTGGCAAAGCCATTTGGCTCAATATGTACCTGTGTATTTGTATTACTAGTAGAGGCTCCTAAGCTTAGGTAGGAAATAGGAAACTAATTCTTGACGGTCCTCTCCTTGGAGAAACACAGTTGCTGTTCAAAGCCAGAGCCTGT